TGCTTTCAGCCAAGATCCATCAAACATCAGCAATGATATCCCTCGTTTCACAGCCTCTTCGGGATCCGGCTTGAACCTCTGGAAGTTCTCTGTCAATGAATGCTTGCAGCTGTTTCTGTACTAACCTTTAGTAAAACTTTACTTGCATGGGTTATCAAAGAGATTGTCCAATGATTTTCACATTCCATTAGGTCACCTCTCTTTGGAATGGGCACAATTTTGGATCTCTTCCAATCAGTCGGCCAGATAGTTGTCTTCCAAATTTCTTGGTATAGATAAGTGAGTGCCTCCCGTGCCACCTCCCTTTCTTGAAAGATTTCAATTTTTATTCCATCAATTCCTGGTGCTTTGTTCTTTGCCAATTCCTTCAATGCATTTTGAACTTCTTCCTTCAGCATCACTGGCTCTTGATCATATGCTACCTCTTGAAATGTTTGAATATCAACCATTTCCTTTTGGTACAGTGACTCTGTGTATTCCTTCCATCTTCTTTTGATGCTTTCTGCATCATTCAATAACTTGCCCAGAGAATCCTTCAATAACCAAAGTTGAGGCTTGAACTTTTTCTTCAGTTTCCCCAGCTTGGGAAATGCTGAGCGTGTTCTTCCCTTTTGGTTTTCTGACTCCAGATCTTTTTACATTTTGTTGTAATATTTGACTTTATCTTCTCAAGCTGATCTTTGAAATTTTCTGTTCAGCTCTTGTACCTCCTCATTTCTTCCATTCATTTTAGCATTTCTATGCTGGAGAGCAAGTTTCAGGGTCTCTTCTGACATCCATTTTGACCTTTTCCTTCTTTCTTAATGACTTTTTGCTTTCTTCTTGTATGATGTTGTTGATGTCTTCCCAAAACTCTTCTGGTCTTTGGTCTTTAGTGTTTATTGTATCAAATCTGTTCTTCAGATGATCTCTAAGTTCAGGTGGGATATACTTAAGGTCAGATTTTGGCTCTCATGGACTTGTTTTAATTTTCTTCAGCTTCAGGTTGAATTTGCATATGAGCTATTGATGGTCTGTTCCACAATCTGCCCGTGGCCTTGTTTTGACTGATGATATGGCGCTTTTCTGTCGTCTCTTTCTGCAGATGTAGTCAGTTTGATTTCTATGTATTCCATCTGGAGATGAAATAATAATTCACAGTAAAGTTTATTTTAAAAACCCCAGTTTATCAAATAACCAACAACAAAAGATAATACAGGGCTGAGGGTTTTTGTTTGTTTGTTTGTTTTGGGGGGGGCAGATTAAATAAACATATATAAAGTACTTGCTGTTTTCACTCCTACAATGAAGGTATGTTGAGGGGTGGTGAGGTGCTCTCTGAAAGAATCTGAAAACAGAAAATACTAATAGTGATAAAATGATACTGAACAGCTAATTCCCTATATGGCAGGCAGTGCGTGACTTCCACAGGTCATCTCACTGACTTCTCACCTCCATAAAGAAAGCGTCATGATGCCTGTGTCATTGTCTCTCATGTGATTTATCATCAGGCAAGTTTGGAGGGGAGAAGCTGGGGAAACTATCAAATTACCTGTGGTATTGTGTAAAAAAAAAATGCAGTTTTCTTTTGTCTCAACTTCTTCCTTGACATACTGAGTTATAATTGGGAGTGAGGGTGAGAGCAAAAAGAAAACTTACCCCAAAAAATTTCTAGTTAAAGTCTGAGAACCAGTGTATTGGACACAAAGCTGTGTTAACTGTGGGGCAAAAGCCTCCAGAGTTGAAACAAGCAGCCTGTAAACAGGGACCGAAGCAACAAGCAGTGACCAGTAAGGGGTGTTAGGGACTTCCAGGCAAGCCTCACAGATATTGCCGGCTTGGCTCCAGATCACAGCAATAAAGCAAAAACAAAGGACAACAGACAACAACAAAGCCTGCATTCCATACTGGGTTTCTATGCATGATGGGGAACAGCCCAAGTGTGAATGTGGCTTACCTAAGGATGGGGTAAATATTTCCTTATAAATCTTTGAATTGCATTAATAGCTGTGGCAAGCATTCGTAACTTTTGAAGTTTAGTGAGTACAACAAAACCAAAATAAAACCCTAGTGACTGAATAGTTCAAGTTGCATGAATTTTTGAGTTTCCCAGCACACAAAGCTATGTTCACAGAAGACGGTAGTCTATTAACTGTGCAACAGCATGATGAAATACATTGGAAATAATGTGAAAATTACTAAAATGTGACAGTGACATATGCTGTTAGAAAAATGGCGCTGACAGACTTGCTTTACAGAGTTGCCAGGAACCTTCAATTTGTGAAAAATGCATCATCTGCAGAGTGCAGTAAAACAAAGTATACCTGTATTTGTTGCTCCTAGGTTTCTTTTCAAATGCTCTTATCTCTGAATCTTCCTGGAACTCAGTAGTGCTCTGATTGTATGAGACTTCTTTTTTGGGGTGTCACACGAATACTTGACCTTCTGGGATTCAAGGAAGCACCCCTTGCTTTGCTTTTCCCTGTTGTAGAAGGCACACTTGTCCAAGAGGCCCAAACCTGGGGCAGCAGTACACAGGAATCCCACCCAAGCTTCTGCTTCATGCTGCCAAGTGAAGCAGTTCTCTACCTCATCTTGAAAAAGGGTTGTTGAGTTATGGAGCCCCTTCAGGTCTCCCCTCAAATAACACCTTCTCAAGTGAGGCCTTCCCAAGACACTCCACCTAATATTGCCACCCTCCCAACACTTCCTATCCCTTCCCAAGCTTGATCATTCTCTTTAGCACTTAGAACTAAATTAGTATATGATTTTTTTTTCCTTATTTACCCTGATTATTGTCTGTCTCCTCTACTATTCCATCATATTATACAAGCTTGCTGTTTCCCCAGAACCCAAAATAGTGTCTGGGACATAGGTAGCACTTAGTACTATTGTTGTTGTAGGGAATTAATTAATAAGTACTCGATGGCACTTAACAACAACAACATTGATATTGAAAGGAGCTCTGGTAGCGTAGTGGTTATGAATCGGGTTGCAAACCGGAAGGTCAGCAGTTCGAAACTACCAGCTGCTCCGCGGGAGAAAGATGATGCAATCTGCTCCCGTAAAGATTTACAGCCTCGGAAACCCTATTCAGGATCGCTACGGGTCGAAACCGACTCGATGGCACTTAACAATAACAACATTGATACTGAAGGATATCATGTTTGATAAGATGGAGGGTTAGAGAAAAAGAGGAAGACCCCCAGCAAGATGAATTGATAAAGTGGCAGCATCAGTGGGCTCAAGCGTGGCAATTGTGAGGTTAGCCCGGGACTGGGCATTGTTTCATTCTGTTGTGCACAGGGTTGCTATGAGCCGGTTCTGACTGACCCATAGCGAACCTATATAGAGTTATCGAGGACTGGCTAGTGAGCTTGAATCACTGACATTGTGGTTCAAACTGACTTTGTAGTCCAGGCATTAATCCACAGCATGACACCAGGACACCAAATAAATACTATATGAATGAATGAATGAGTCTCTTTAATCCTTATGGCAACACTGTGAATATATGGTTTCACTCGTTCCACTCTTACTCTGCCAGGCCCTGCACCACATGTGTGATGACAGAGATGACGGGAGATACAAGGCTCCTCCCCTCATGGAGTTCACAGGGACTAAAGGTAGGTAGAAAATAAGTAAACACATGTATGCAATAATAAATTTTGGTAAGGCTATGCATTGTATTCCATACCAGATGCTGTGCAAGTATCACCTCACTGTCTTCTCACAGTGGCACTCGGTAGTAAAAGTTACAGAGGAAATCAAAACCCAGACAGATTCATTCTGAGACCTTCGATTCAAACCCAAACTGTCTCACTTCAAGTCCTGTAGTCACTTAGTTTGCCCTTATATGTGATCCCTAGGAAGGCAGTTAATAGTTACACACTTGAGTCTTAGGCCAAAAGCCATTTCGAATTTGTAGTTTTCGGGGAGGGGGCTGGATCACATTCCTCACCATTCCTCACTTGTTGGGGTCTTCATTGTACCTGCTTACACCAAGATGCAACATTTGAACCCCTTCCTTTGATGAAGGGCACTGACTGAACTTAAGGATAACACTCAGGGTGAGGGAGTGTGTTATGTTTTCACTTCCTGAGGGAAGGAAAATCTGACTTCAGATTTTCCATGTTTGAAACCCCTGAGAGATGTTCTGTGCTTGAAGCTCTTGATGTTGTTCTTCTCCTCTTCTCCCAACAAACATACACTTGAAAATTTCTGCAGGAAGAGGGGAGAATAAGAGGCCTTGGGGTGCAACACTTTTTGTTTCAGTGCCCATGGCTCCAAACCTATTCGTATTATTTAAGGCAGATTCAGATAGTAAGGGCAGTCTTCCCATTTCATCTGTCAACCTGGGTAACTCATGGTTACAGCCTCCAGTAACAACTCATTTACCCAGGATGCCTTAGGGACCAGGCTCTGTATAAATCGTTTAAACGCACTATGTCCGTCATTCCCATTTTACAAACCAGCACATCCAGACTAAAAGCAGTTAAGTCACTTGCTCATATAGCTCTTGTCTCATTTAAACACTATAATTAACTGCATTTCATGCTCCCTTTGGCTGAAGCCTGTGAAAACAGGATTGGCTGATGCTCTGCTCTTATACCCATGCCCAGCCTTATAGACAAGGAGACCCACCCTACAGATCTGGTCTCACACTTTAAACAACGGAGGGAGAAGCTGCCAGGGCAAGCAACTCTACTTGCTAGCATTGCAAAGTGTGAGGAGATGGGAAGGAGAGAAAGCTAGTATAAGTTCCAGCAATGCTATATACCAGGCCCTGCGCTAAATTCTCGAATGCACACTATCGTTTTGAATCAAAATGACTATACCAGCAGGAATTAATTGCTGAAGGGCAATAACTTGCCCATGTGTATTCTTGCTTCAGCATCTATGACAAAGAATAGGGGTATCATTTGCGTATCCCAGGCTGAATTGTTGGGAGGCCCTAGACAGAGTGGTACAACTCCTGTGTGGTCCCACCCCCAGCCCCTTGTTTCTGAAGTGGACGGAGAATGCGTGAGCAAAGCAGAAAGTGGCGGGAAGCGTGGTATCAGAGACGGGACTCCTTGTCCCTGAGCCCTAGCAGTCTTCGGATGCGGTGGTCAGCCACGCCCCCCCAGACAACAGGGCCGTAGTGGTTACGAACTGGGCTGGGAACCGCAAGGTCAGCAATTCGAAACTACCAGCTGTTCCGCGGGAGAAAGATGAGGCTTTCTGCTCCCGTAAAGATTTACAGCCTCGGAAACCCTGTACAGGGTCTCTATGAGTCGGACCCGATCCCACTGCACACCACCACCACCCGCCTGCGAAGACCTGAAACATACAAGAACGTAACCAGTCCCACAAGCCGCCGCGCTCGCTTTGGGAGCGGACGCATCGCCTCACTTCCGGCTACTTAATTCCGGTGAGCCCTGGGTACCGCGTGGCAAGCAGGGAAAAGGAAGAGGTACTGCAACATAGACCACTGAGGCTTCGCCATTACAGGTCCGGAAGAAGAGGCAGGGTGCCGCCATGACTAGTTGGACTTGAGAGGAATGGGGCCGTTTATCCTCTCTCTGACCGGATAAAACGACACAGGTGGAACTGGGCGCCGCCATGACAACCTGGTACCGGAAGAGGCGGGTCTTTCCTCCCTGACTGATCTCGCTCCGTCACCTGCCTCGAGATGTGAGTAGAGGGAACTCCCACCCCCATACCTGCGCCGCGTTCATTCACTCCCCGGGAACCTGGACATTGTTCTGGACCCCAGGAAGAACATTGACAACCCTGTCCCCTTGAAGATCCCGCTCGCAGCATTTTGTCTTGTTCTTAAGCTCCACCCCTCTGGCGTCCAGGCCCCGCCCTCTAAAGGTTTAGGCGGTGTCTTTAGCCTGCGCCTGATTCGGGAGATTTCAGGTCCCGCTCTATTACCAGGAACTCAAGCTCCAGTATCCTGCTGTGGCCTAGACACCTCATCTCAAGCTCCCTAGAACAGTAGTTGATTGCCGTAGAGTCGGTTCCGACCCATAGCGACCCTGTGTAGGGTTACCAAGGAGCCGTTGGTGCGTTTGAACCGCGACCTTGGAGGTTTAAAATGGTCTTACTGCCCAGCGCATCATCCTGCAGCGTCACGCCAGGACTCCCTAGATTTGCTTTTACAATCCCGAATTCCTCTCCAAGGATCAAGGGAACATAACTTCTGAATGGTGTCCTAATTATGCCCAGGACTGCAGACTTGTTCCAAGATCCTTGTGATCCTCCTTGGATTCCCTGATCCTTTGCCCAAGACCCTCAAGAGCTCTCCATATCTACTCCAGGGCTCCAGCCTCACTCAGGGTTACCAGATCCTGCTCCTAGGATCTTGAGCTATACTTCGGACCCCACACCTGTTCTCTGGCCGGGAAGTCCTTCCTAGCACTCTATAGCCTACCTCTTAAACTCTCAGTCCTCACTTTAAGGACCTCCAAATCCATTTAGGCATCCCATACCTTCTTTCTAAAACATGAGATCTTATATCTAAGGCTCCAAACCTTCAATTTCTCTTCATGGTTCGCACATGCACTCTAAATTGCCCTGACATCACCTGGTATTTAAGACCCTTCTTCCAGGACCCAAAGACATGCCTTAAAACAACTAGACCTCGTTTTAGGCCCTCAGCTATCTCCCAAGTAGTCTGTGGGCTGCTCCATGACTCCCACGGCTCGTGTCTCGCCATTACACCTCTCTGGCCATATCCCAGGATCCCTAGTTCTATCTGAGACCCAGATCAGGACTCTCTTCTTTCTTCCCCTTCCTTACTATAATCCTCAACCTTCTCCGTCCCACAGGCAGGCGGCCCTGGAGATCACTGCTCGCTACTGTGGCCGGGAACTGGAGCAGTATGGCCAGTGTGTGTCAGCCAAGCCTGAGTCCTGGCAGCGGGACTGCCACCACCTCAAGATGAGCATTGCTCGCTGCACATCCTCACAGTGAGTATGGAGCAGAGTGGAAGCGGGCAGTGGACTGGGGATCTCCCAGGTTCTAAAACTGCTTTCTCCCACAGCCCAATCATCCGCCAGATCCGCCAGGCCTGTGCTGAGCCTTTCCTGGCCTTTGAGGCATGTCTGCAACAGAACGAGGCAGCGGTGGGCAACTGTGCAGAGCACATACGCCGCTTCCTACAGTGTGCCGAGCAGGTGCAGCCTCCACGTTCACATGAAACCTTGGAGGTAAGGGGAGGCTCACCCACCCATCCACTTCCTTCTGTCCTTCCACTCTGCTCCCCAGCTCTTCCCCCTTCATCTCCAACCCCTCCCCTTCCATGTAGACCTTCACAGTACAGCCAAAGAATGGTCGTTTCTTGTCATGCCCTAGTCCCCAGGGTTACCTGCTCCAGCCTTCTCCCTGGTTTCCTGGATTCCCCTCTTGGTTTGCCTTCACACAGTGGCCAGAGCAGGAATTTAAGAATTGAACTCTAGTCATACTGCATTTTTGTTGAAAGTGCTTTAATGGATTCCCACTGACACCTAGAACAAAAGTCTTGGTCCTTCCTGGGTTCTCTATGCCTGCCCTGGCTGCCCTCATCCGTTTCTTCCTTACACACATGCTCCCTGGCTTGCATGCTCTCTCTTCCTTTCTCATTGTTTTTCAGCTGTACTGGCTAGTGGCTGAGATGTAAGGCTGGAGAGGAAGAGCAAGAAAGTCTTGTTCTTCATTGTGTACGGTATATTAACATGTCCAGTGTATCTCTCATCTTAAAATTGGAAGGATAGAGAAGTTAGGAAGAGATTCCTTAAGGGGACTGATAATGAAAAAAAAAGTTGGGAACACTGACTTAGATGTTTATTGCCTCCTGCACTGGACTGTGAGTACCAAAGGCAATGGAGCGCATGTCTTTCTCCAAACAAATCCGTTGCTGTTAATCAATTCCAGCCCTTTCTAAATTCTCTCTCACCTGCTCCTCTCTACAACCCTATTTTCTTTTACCACCAGGCCTTCTTTCTCCCAAACCTCCACGTTCTGGCTTTTCTTTTCATTTCAACCTCAGTAATGACCCCAGAGTGAACTCAGAGGCAATCTGACCACATTCTGCCTCCCACCAGGCTCAAATCCAAACTCCTGCATAGTCCACAGAGCCCTGCAGGACTCTGGCCCCACCTCGCCCAACTTCTACTTAAAGCTCTAGGTTCCAGCCTCAGTGGATGTTCAGTTACTCAAGTGCTTGCCTTTCTTATTGCAAGGCTTTTGTCTGTCTGTCTCCCTCTGCCTGGGCTGCCCTTCCTAATCATCCTTCTTGCTGATCCCTATTCCAGCATAGATGCCACCTTCCTCAGAAAACCTCCTATGATACCCTAAATCCTTTCCCAGGCTTCCAAGGTCCTCCAGTTCCCTCTATCATGCCTTATATCCTACTGCTTTGTAAGTGCTCCCCTGCCCATTCCCTGCTTTGGAGGACTTTTGGGCTAGCAATTGGGAAAACATCCTTCTAACCAGGTCCTGGAGTCCTGGTGTGGCGCTGTGGGTTAATGTGCTGGACTGCAATGTCGGTTTGAACTGCAGGGTTGGCGGTTCAAACTCACCAGTTGCTCCTTTGAAACCCTGTACAGGATTGCTTTGGGTCGGAACCAGCTTGATGGAACCGGCTTGATGGCACTTAACAACAAATCAGGTTTTAAAGTTAATAAATCTTTTTAAAAGACAGGGATAGTGAAAGGCTCAGGCCTCAAGAGCAGATACCAGCTGGAATGATTTTTCATTCTTCTCAGCAAATGTTCAGTAATGACTGCATATATTCCATGCTAGCTTCTCAGTTGTCTGTTGATGAAGTTTGTTGCTTTCAGATTTTGGGGGCAAAGATAAAACATCATGATCAAGTGGGATTCATATCAGGGGTGCAAGTATGGTTCAACATTAGAAAAATTATCAATGTTATCCACCATATAAATAAGAAAAAAGAAAAGAACCACATGATCATATCAATTGATGCAGAAAAGGCATTTGACAAAATCCAACATCCATTCCTAATAAAAACATTCAGCAAAATAGGAATTGAAGGGAAATTCCTCAACATAATAAAGAGCATATATACAAAACCAACAGCCTATATTACTCTCAATGGAGAGAAACTGAAAAGCCTTCCCTCTGCGAACAGGAACCAGACAAGGATGTCCTTTGTCACGTCGCCACTCCTGTTCAGTATTGTGCTGGGAGTCTTAGCAAGAGCTATACGGCAAGATAGGGAAATTAAAGGCATCCAAATTGGCAAAGAAGAAGTAAAACTCTCCCTATTTGCAGATGATATGATCCTGTACGTAGAAAACCCTAAAGACTCAGTAAAAGAGCTACTAGACTTCATTGGAAGATTCAGATTTTAGGAGTATACGACCAAGAAAGATTCTGCCCTCCCATCTCAGAACTCCTTCCCTCCCTGGGTGAGCAACGAACCTTGCTCTGGTCTTTCTGTGACCAACCCTGCCCTTCACAACCCACCCTTCCCCTCAGCCAAATGAGCTTCTTATTACACAGATGAAGTCACATGACATCTGTCCCCTTTAAAATTGTCTCATGGCTCCCCAGTGCTGCTCATCCCTACTGTCCTTGTCCTTCCTGGTGGGAGCAGTGCAGTTACAGCTCGTCCTCCTTAGTGCTAATACTCTAGCTGCCTCCAGTCTTTATCCTACAAAATTGCAAACCAACATTCTCACCTCATCAAGCACGATATAACCAGTCATGTTTTGTAGCTGACAAAACATTACATATGTTCCCACGTCCCCAACACTTCTTGCTGTAGTCCTATTTTTCGTCATCGACTGTCACCATTGGACATTTTTGTTCATTTGTTGTCTACCCTTCTGTCCTTGAGTGTTTGCACCCCAGAGTCAGGAACGTTTGCTTGTGAGTCCACTGCTGAATCCCCAGGGCCTAGAACATTGCAGGCTCTCAGCAGGGACTAAGGAAACAGTGGAATGGTGCTGTCCCTGCCTTCCTAGTGACCTTCACCATGACTGACTTATTCATGGCCATAGTCATTCCCTGACACTTTTGCTCCAGGCTCTGGGCTCTGCAGTGATCCCTGGGCTGGGCACAGAAGAGGGGGCAGCTGATGTTGGTATGTTTTCTCCACAGGCTCAGCCGCTTCCTGCCTCTTGAGGATTCTTTTGGCTGCAGGAAGCCCGGACATGAGTAACTGACCAAACTTGAGGCCCCTGCCCCCACACAGAGTGGCCTGGTGGAGTCCTTGGTACAGCTGGGCCCTGGACCTGGGCCTGGTGTCTCTGGAAATCAGTACTCCCAATAAATACATTGTGTGCCAACTTTGATTCCTGCCTTTAGCACATGAAGGAACCTTCGTAAAGCTTGCTGGGCAAGAACCTTGGTCCTTTGTTTCTCCAGCTTCGCCTGATGTGTGCTGAGGAAGGGCCTATGTGGGCCTGAGATGGTCCTTCTGTTCTCCATGGTTAAGACGCCCCCCTTTACTCTTGTTAACTTTGCAAACAACCATTTCCTGTCTCCTGCTGCGCCCACATGAGCAAAGGCACTTCCTCTCTTCTACTCTAAAATTCACCAAAACCTTTATTAAATGTTATTTGGGGCTTGGGAGTAGACAATAAATAACACAGTTCTTTGCCTTCTTAGTTCAAAACCAGTTGAAAAATAAAACGTGGGCATTAGGCAGATGGGGATGAAAATACTGCCTTTATTATTGACAGCTAGGTTTGAGGATGTGGCTTGGAGTCTGCTACACTGGGCTTCTGTCTTAGCTTATGTTCCTCTAGAAGCTAACGTTAAGAATTTGAGTGCACATGTTATATTTGGAAAGTGATTTCACAAACACTGGTAGGGTAATGGACGAGTGAGACAGAGAGGAGTGTGCATTACCAAGCCAGTTACCACCGTGGGCAGCTGGGGCACTTTGCGAAGCCGAGAGCTGGTCTCAGGGGCATTGACTGTCCAGACTTTTTGCCTGCATTGTTTGCAGGCCGGGTGTGCTGCTGCTATCCAAAGAGAGTCCTGGACAGAGCAGCAGAGGTCAAGTTAGGCACTTGTAGTGTCCAGAAGAGAAGAGATGGTTAAGTGGATCTCCTCAGGCACTAACAGTGGCTGCTGCAGCTTCTTAATGTTTTTCAGGATTGCAGGTTGTGAACACAGCTGATTGATTACAGGTGCTTCAACAGGGGCAGGTCCTAAGGATGGAGAACAGACAACCAGGAATGCCAGAGAGATCTTGGTTGGTCAGGTCCTGTGCTCAGATTCCTCGTTCTGACAAATCGCTCTTCATGAAGTAACTTCCAACCTCTGGAAATTGGGTGTAATTTGTCAGAACTGATGGAATTGGTCCAGCACTTTTGGTTTGTGCTGTAGCTTGGAACTCTGAGCCTGCCCAATTGGAATATCCGCTGGAGACTTGACCTCCAAAACACAGGAAGTTGTTCATGAGCACTAAGAACCATGGTAGAAGTCTGTGGTCTGCGTTTCAGGAGCTTTCAGATATCATGTGACTGAGATGAAAACATCCACATAGTGGAGAGAAGATTGTAATCAATTCTTGTGGTCTCTGAAAAGACTGCCTGAGTTCTGTACCTAGTTTCAGTTATTTTGGGCTATGGTTCAAATATGGATTTCTGTGTTTTTAGCCAGTACCCCTTTGTTTGAAATGCTTTGTTTGAGTTGGCCTAAATGGCTATCTGTTACATTCAACTTTTTATAGTGTTGCTGTGGAGTTGATTCCACCTCAGTGATGCTGTTTCTGAGAGCACAGGTGGGTTTAATCAGGACTCACTCCATGTAACTTAAAGAAGCTGAATTAGAAGAGACCTACCTGTATGCCAGGCGGCAAAATGGAGATGGAGTCTCTAATTCAGAATGTTTCTGGCCTCTCTTATAATAGACCAGATGTCTCCTGATGGTTTCAGGGTTCCAAGAGTGAAGTGGAATCCTCAAAGACTTAATTTTGTTTGTCTTTTTTTGTGTGGTGGGGGTGGGGGTGGAAGCTTTCTCTGTCTGTTGGTTCTGGGAGAAAGTCCCCATCTCTTTTCAACATTTGTGTCTGGTCTCCCTGGTAGATGTCCATGTGTGTTGACATCAGTCTTCCCAGGTCCACAGGCTCAAAGCCCTGGTTCCAATGCGCACAATCCGCTTTTGACTCTTGGTCTTGGTGGTAGTAGGGCCCTCTGATCTTGTTTGTTTACTTAATCTCTTTAACATCTCAAAAGAAATTGACTCAAATTATAACCTGGTCTGTGAATTGCATCCTGCCTCAACACCAGAGAGGTGAGGATGCACAGCACATAGGCTATTTACATCAGATCACAGATTACATAATACTGAAAATTTTGCCTAGCCAAGTCAACACATATTTTGGGGGAACATAATTCAGTCTACAACAAGATCTTATAGAATTAATATATACAAAGAGTCGAGAATAAACAGTGTCTGGCATATAACAAAGACTGAAATTTTTATATCACCACATTGTATTAGAACAGGTTACGAGGCCAATACAGATAAAAGGAGTAAGGCAACAGACTACTTGTTGGGTGGGACTGCAAAGATTTCATGGTCCTATTCAAACTAAACTTAGCTTTTTCTTGTGTTACTTTTGGTAAATTAATATTTTTCTAAAAGTGTCTCACACATCTAAGCTTTCAAGTTGCCATAAATTTGTTCATAATACCTTCATAGTATGTTTTTTAGATTGTAGAATATGTAGTAGTTGCTAACTGCTGTTGAGTTGGTTCTAACATATCAACTTTGTGTAGGGTTTCCAAGGAGCAGCTGGTAGGGTTAAACCACTAACCTATGGTTAGCAGTCCAGTGCTTATCCTATAGCACCACACCAGGATTGTAGGGTAGACTATATAGTGATAACCCCTTTTTCATATCTGACATTGGTTACTTGTGTCTATCTACTTTTGATTTTGTTGATGTTCTCGGTTGTGTATTTAATATGCAGCATCAGGATAAATGAAGAAAATATTCAAGTTGTCAAAGATCTCATTTTACTTAGCTCCACAATCAATGCCCCTGGAAACAGCAGTCAAGAAATCAAATTATTCATTGCTTTGAGTAAATCAACTGCAGAAGACCTTTCAAGTGTTAAAAAGCAAAGATGTCACTTTGAGGATGTAGGTACATGGCCCAAGCCATTGTAATTTCAATTGCCTTACTAGCTGTTCCTCGGAAACTCTATACAAGGGTCGCTATGGGTCGGAACCAACTCGATGGCACTTAACAGCTACAACATATGCATGCGAAAGCTATATAATGAATTAGACTGAAGAATAATTGTGGTGTTGGTGAAGAATATTGAAATATGATTTACTGTGGGAAGATCATTTTATTGGATCCCTGGTGGCACTGTAGGATAAGCACTGAAGTGTTAAGAAACCCACAGTTTAAATCCACCAGCCACTCCATGGGAGAAAGATGAGGTTTTATGCTCCTATAAAAATGTACGGCCTATACAGGGTTGTTGTAAATTGGAATCAACTAGATGACGATTGGGTTTGTCCAGAATAACAAATCTGTTGTGAGAGAAGTACAGCCAGAATATTACTTAGAAGTGAGGATGGCAAGACTTCATTTCACGTCTTTGCACATGTTGTTAGGAGGGACTAGTCCTTGGAGAAGGCTGTCGTGCTTGGTAGAGAGTCAGTGAAAAAGAAGACCCTCAATGAGATGAATTGACACAGTAGCTACGACAATGGGTTCAACCTTGACAACGGTTGTAAGGATAACTCAGGTCCAGGCAGAAGTGTATTGTCACTGTGGGTTAATGAGATGTACTGTCAAGTTGGTTTGAACTGCAAGGTCAGTGGTTCAGGGTCACCAGACACTCTTAGGAGACCCTATACATGGTCTCTATGAGTTGGAACCATCTCAATGGCACTTAACAGCAATAGGGTCAGTATGATTTAGAATCAACTAAGTGGCACTTAACAAAAATTGTGTATCTGTTTTTAATACAGTTAACTTTTTTATTTCCTTCTTTCCTGAGAAGTGACATTTTGTGACACTGTAGGGTAAACTCTGGACTGTTAACCACAAGGTTGGCTGTTCAAATCCACCACCTGCTCCTGGGAAACCCTAAAGGATCGCTGTGAGTCAGCACCAGCATGATGACACTGACATGATTGTTTGAAAGCATTATAGTTGGTAAGACTTGACAGAATCATGACTCTTAACACAAATCTTTTCTCTGAATTGGTTTCGGATTGGTCACATGGTATGCCCATATATATCCATATATGAGCTTCGCAGGTTGGACTTCTCTAGAGAACTCAGCCTAAGACCCATTTTACTTGTATCACTCCGAGTGATACCAACAATGGAGAGTTCATTATTATGAGTTACAAATTATGACTGCCAGCATCACCATTGCTGTTAAATTCTGCCAAGTCGGTTCCAACTCAGTGACCCTGTGTAGGGTTTCTGAGGAGCGATTGGTATGCTTGAACTGCCAGCCTTGTGTTTCAAACTGACCTTGCAGTCCAGCGCATTAACCCACTGTGCCACACCAGTCTCGGGGAAAACCAGCAGCCGTGTCTTTTTTTCTCCCAAATCCCAGATGCATATATCCAACTGCTAACCCAACATGTCTGTTTAGATGTCTTAAGGCCTCTCTACCTCATCATATTCAGAACTTGGCTTCTGATCCTGCCTCCAAACCTGCTTCACCCTCAGATTTCCCAAACTCAGGCGTTCCTATTCTTCCAGCTGCTCACACCCAGTATCCAGTGCACTAGGGTAGCCTGTAAAGAACCCTGATGACATAATGGATGACATGTTAGGTTGTTCACCACAAGGACAGCAGTTGGAATCCACCACCTGCTCCTTGGGAGAAAGATGAGGCTTTTTGTTCCCATAACGATGTACAGCCTTGGAAACCCTGTATAAGGTTGCTCTGAATCAGAATTGACAACTCAATAGTTAACATTGCCGCACCCGCTGCCGCAGCCTGTTGGCTCTGTCTTCAATTACACGTAACCCAGTGACCTCTCATCACTTGCGCTGTTCATCTGGCATTAGCCACCAGTGCTCTCACCTTGGTTTTCACAGCAGCCTGCTCCTTGCTCTAGTATAGTGCAATATAGTAACCAAAACAAAAGCAACATGTTACTGTTGGCTGGTTCTGATACATGATGATGCCA